AACAATGACTTTGATTCAAAGCTCATACTTAAAAATATGGAATGCTTCACTAATGTGCATTTCAGAAGCAGCAATGTATACAACTCCCAAGACACAGGTTTTAAATGAAACTGCTTGCCCTCCACTTCCTCTCTCTTTACCCTTCCTCAAGGCAGGCACACAGATAAGCTGGTTAACCACTTCAATCCCTGGTTGAATCCTAGAGAATGGTGACACCAGAACTTATAAAGAACTTGGGTTCTTTGACAGCCTCAAAGAGAAGAGCCATCTACCCACCTTAAACTGCTTGTTTACCTCTCAGACTGTCACCTGAAAAAGAAATACATTGCTATTTTTTAAGCCCCTTTATTTTGGGGTCTCTTTTGTTGTTGCAGCAGTTGAGCCTGCACTCTTATATCAAAAACAGAGCATTATTTGCCCACTGGACCAAAAGGATGTTCCTAAGCTTCCTGGGCTTGCTGTACGCTGGGTCTCCTGCTCTGTAGGTTCAGCATTCATGGAGAAATATTGTGGAATTGTTAGAAAATGAATAATTAATGAGGTTAAAACTTAGACACTGGGTATTTATTTAGACTTTGCTATATTTAATTTTTTGGTACTTATTTTTATATTAGGCCCTGGACTAGGCTCTTCCTTTACTGCCTAGTGGATAAAATAGTAGATTGGCCACATGTGCAAGAGGAACAGGTCTGCTATAGGCCTGCCTGTCAGGACAGGGCTTGCTCTGGGGAGTAGGCTTGCTGTAGTTGCTTGCCATGGAAACTGAGGAGTTCAGAGTGGACAGGCTGATGTCCCTGGGACCTGGAGAAAGATAGTACTTAGAAAATTAGTAAGGACAAACACAGAAGAAAACTCAGAGGAGGTGTGGATAAGGTTTCAGGTACTTGGGCCAGTCTGGAAAGGGATAAGGTTAGAGAAGACTTTCAGGTGTCATTTTAAATATTAAAAGTGATGATCATCCTTCCTTGAAACACAAACTTCTCTGACACCACATCCTCCTGGTTTTCTTCCCGCATCCCTGGCTTCCAAGATAGGGAATATTGAAGAAGAATATGTTAAGGGTGCCAGGGACTGGCTAGTATGTCAGGTGACATTGAGACACCCAAGTGGAGGTGTCCAATAGACCATAGGACATGTGGGTCTGGAGCTTGGAGAGTGGGTCCCTGACTTCACTAGATTCTCTGAGATTTCTGCATCAGTTAGGGTGCTTAGTTCCAAGTAAAAGAACCCAATTCTGGTTAATTTAAGCAGAAAATGAGTTTCTTAAAATATTTGTTTAGAGAGTTCATAGAGCCGTTGGAAAGGCGAGAGAACTAGGAGCTAACTGGTCTGCTGTAGGAACCATCCCTGCCATCAGGCACCAGGGGCTTCAACTTGTTCTGCTGCTCTTGCTGCCATGGAAACCTCACCTACCTGCAACCAATACCACCACCAAGAAGTCTCTGTGGTCCCTGAGCCACCACCACCCTCCCCCCCATGCTTTTTTTAATGACTACCATTAGAACTGTATCCTGGCTACCAGGGACATGGTAAATCAAGATTTTAGTACATTTAGCTACTGTAGTGAGAAGTTAGCTCTTCCTCCCAAGACTCCTGAAGTGGGGAATTCATCCAAATAGGAAAGGGGTTCAGATTCTATGCAGTTAAAATGAATGATGAATATTCAGAACAATGTCCTTACACCCTAAATGGCTAGACACCACTGGCATAGAGTGGGCAGAGAAGACAGCTAAGTCTAGGCGACTGGGGAATGGCACTAGATAAAGGAACATTCTTGAGGTGTTCATTGCCTAGAAGTGGTGGGCACTCAGGTGGTTTTCCCCTAACTCCACCTCAACCTCATTGCCTTAATTTTGAGGAATGGGCTGTGTTCATTCAATAAGAAGCAGAGAGCTGAGTTCTTCCCTAGAGAGAAGGCTTCCCAGTCTATTCCCCACCTTGGGCTCTTAATGATGAGGCAAAAAGACCATGAAGTAGGTTCAACGATTGCTACTGAAGAAACACTCCAGGACACAATTATTGGTAAAGAAAGGTGTTATTTTTTAATTTGTTCTTGAATGTGTAGGTCCTTTTAAGATCAGTGACACTTCCCTTTACAATATTCCTCCCACCTGCCCCCAACCACTTTGTATCTAATGGCCACTTCTGAAAAAGGCCTAAGAGGAATTCACCCTGGATATCCAAGAAAGAGATGCAGCTTGAGGAATGGGCATACAGTTCAAGAAGCAGCTCAAAACTGCTTTCCTCAAAGCACCTCAGTTTGGCCTATGAGTCCCTTTGCCCTATCTTGGCCAAGACTCCCCAACATTGCCTTGCTCCCTGTGTGGCCTGAGCTTTAGAGTTAGAATCAGTATCCCCATCTTTCCAGCTATAAAGCCTCTGAGAGATCACTGTTTTCAACCCTCCCCCCTCCACCAACTCTATAGAAGGGGAAACTGTACCCAAGGTCACAAAGCTCATAACTGGCAGAGGTGAAATTTAGGTGTTCAGCATCTCAAGTCACGTAAGTTTCTACTATATTTCCCCACCTCCAAGAAAACAACCACCATCTACCTCCAGCTCTAGGAACAACTGGAGCAAGCAGGTGGTGATGATCAGATGGAAAAGACCTGGCTAAAAGAGGCCAGGATGACCTCAGCAGAGCCCCAAGGAAGTGATGATGAATCACAGCACTTCTCCGTTTTCCCTCTACCAGAGTATTACCAGTATTACCAGTGAGTATTACACTCACCCCTGCCAGGATCCTCCTCCTGGTTAGGAGCTCACTGAACCATGCATGGCAACATGGTATACCATGATCCCAAGTGCCTCTAACTTGTACTTGGGAGCTGCCCATCAGCCTGGGAATCCCATTTATCAAACTGTTTCTTGGTAAGGCTCAATCCACATTCGTGGGCTGATTTAGATGGGACCTCTTGGCGACTAAAGCTAAAACCTGTCTCCATGATGCACTGGGAAAAACAGAGGGAAGGGCTCACAGATGCTGTCCTCCCTAGAGAGTTCATAAACATGATTGGCATGGGGAGAACTGAGTCCAGGAGAAGAAACGGACTCAAGGAAAACGGGAGACTTAGAGGGTGGGGAGCAGAACGGCTGTGCTTCCTCCTGATGGCCCAATTCCTGAAGGGGAGAGACCACAAAGCGCTATGGATGTGTTCCCTTGTCAAGATTTTAAGAAAAGCTCAGCCTGTGTGGCTAACAGGTAAGAGAATAATCCAGGGACCTATGGTGTCATAAAGGCCATGTGAAGGGGCTGTTTCAAAGAGGAAGTGGTAGAAATGCTGTGAAGTGGTGTGAAATGCTGTGGAGAGTTCCAGACAGCTGAGGACTGAAAGGTCTTCTTTCTATTTGGCAATGGGTGGTCACTGGTGACTTTTATGAAAAACTGTGTAGGGTTGAAGAGCAACTGAGAAGAACTAATGGAAAAAATCCTTTTTTAAAGAAACTTGGGGGCTCCTGGGTGGCTCAGTCAGTTGAGCATCCAACTTCAGCTCATGATCTCGTGATTCGTGGGTTCGAGCCCCATGTCAGGCTCTGTGCTGACAGCTCAGAGCCTGGAGCTGGCTTTGGATTCTGTGTCTCCCTCTCTCTCTGCCCCTCCCCCACTCATGCTCTGTTTCTGTCAAAAATAAATAAATGTTAAAAAAATTTTTTTAATAAAAATTAAAAAAAAAAGAAACTTGGCTAATAAGGAAAATGTATAAGGGGCAACATACCCTAAGCATTTTGCTTTAGTCTTGGGGAGACCTTTGCTTGTTTGTAGGCTATGTGGAGCACCAGTGAGAGGGAAGTTAAGACCCCAGCAAATGGGGCAGTGGATGAGGGGCAGAGCAAAGTCTTGGAGGCCATACAGCAGGATTCAAGAAACAGAGCACCCAACAGGAGCAAAAGGGAAGGATGTGAGGAGGGATGTAGACACAGACAGATGGGAAGGAGAAAGGAGCCAATGGGCAAGGAGGTTCTTGCTTTAGGGACTTTTCTGTGAATAGGCAGTGAGGTCAGTCGTTGGCTGAAAGCAAAGATGAGGGGCGTGGACAGAGAGCAACGCAATCACATCAAAGATACCCATTCAATGCTGACAGCCCATCTGAGGGTGTCAACTCTGAATCTGTCATGTTTAGCAACCCAGGAAGACAGAGCAGCAAATAAGCTGATGCAGAAAATGGAGAATGGTTGGCAGTTTCAGGGGAAGTTTTGAGATGGAGAGGATAAGAAAGTTCAGGATGCTGATAAAAAAGGTCAGTGTGTGATGGGCCACAGGTTCAGGGTAGGGAGAAGAAGCAGCCCACCAGGAGAAGGCTGAAAGACTGGGAGAACAAAGAAAGAGAGAGAGAGGGTCAGGAAACTGAGCTAAAGGAGCAGGCATTTAAATAAACAGCAGGGAGGGAGGGAGAAGCAGAAGAGGAAGCACAGGACATGGTGATCCAGAAGGTGTTGGGGGGTTCAGAAGGGAAAACTACAGGGGGCATCCTGGAGTCAGAGAGGGAGCAGAGCGGAGCCCAGGAACAAATAAGGAGGGGTCTAGGTCTTAGGAGCAAGGCAAAGAGCTGTCACCAGAAGAGGGCACAGGGAGCCAGAACCCACCGAGTCTGATGGTGAGGACTGCCTGGTGCAGAGCCTACAGAGGGCCCAGCAGCTGCCCCTGTGGGAGGAGGACCTGCAGAGGGTATAGTTGGCAATTATTAGGAGTCAGGTAGGGCCAGCCTGCCCACGTTCTGGAAGAGGACTCTGCAATTCATCCTGCAGCAGTGTTTGCACTGAAACCCCCCCTTTGCCTCCACTGAAGCCGCTTGGCTCTCCTGTTTCTCCCACGTCCAAGGAGCCCAACTTCTCCTCTAGGACTGCATTCTATACTGTGAGGCCCCGGAACTTGCTGTATTTCCATTTCATGACTTTGTCAAGGGCCAAAGGACTTCCCTGACTTCAAAAGGGGCCATTGTGAGAGTGAGTCAAAAGCAGGAACAGCTCAGATGTTAAGGAAGAGCCACTGAAGTCAGTCACTCAGCTAGCAGCTTTTTTTTCTTTAATTTATAAAAAGTCATGTTCCGTTTTCTGCATGCAAAACAAAACAAAACAAAAACCATGACACAAAACATTGGTGCTAAGTACACAGGAAAAGCCTGGGGGAGGGCAATGGTGTGGGGTAAGCAGTGCAGGGGTGGTGTGGAGGGCCATGACCTTGCACCCTTGCAGGGAGGATACCCTACATCTGCTCAGGTGCCGAAAGTGGGCCTCTCAGCATGCAGGGTCTCTGCGGTGGGAAAGGAATATGTGACTCTCGACTACGTTACTACGATCCCCTGGCCCAGCAGGCTATACCCAGCTAGGAGCTTCACGAATAAAAGGGGAGCTAAGCATTTAGCCCCGCATTTCTGCTTTATATTTGTAGTCTCCGGTTGGTCCTGTGGAAGGATCTCAGTCAGGTTTGAGACTGTCACAGCCCTCACCTGGCTATCTGACACAAAGCACCATGATTCTCACTCAGGGAAGGTGGAAATGGGGGCCACAACACAGGAAAGATGACCTAGAGCATGAATTCATGAGGTAATTACAGAGGGAACCTCGCCAAGTCAACTAAACAGAGAAAACGATTCAAACATTGAAAGGAAAGTGGCCAGAGCCCAAGCCAGAGAGTCATGTGAGCCCCAAAGAACAGAGGGCTAGGTCTAAAGATTGCCTGGCTAGTGAAGCACGAAAGACTTAGTTACCCCAAACTGGGAAACGGGATTATGGAAGCCTGTCTGCGCAGGAGAGCCTGGCAGGTGCTGGTGAAAGAATGGCCGGCGGAGGATGGCCTCTCAGCCTGGGTGGCAAAGGAAATGAGCAGCACCACCGACTGACAAGGAAAGCAGAGCTTTCTCTGAGCACAATGTTCCCCTTAACAAAGGCCCTACAAACAACAGCTTCCTTAAATTTCATCTTTTAGCAAAAATAAAGCCAAGCCACGACAAAGTGATGTCTCTGGGCCAGCCCACTGAAGCGCCAGGTCTGCAGCTCCCCCAACACCATCAGCAATAGGGTCCTTCTCAACTAAGTCCTGGCTGAGGAAGTAGCTTGACCCCCAGCATCTGCCTATGCAGCCTTCCCCAAACACCCCACACGGACCATGAAGATCCATCTCCATCTGAGATAGAGTCTGGAATTCCTGTTCCCATGGCTTCCAGAACATTTCCTTCTGCATTCTCGGAGAAGTGATGTCATGAAGTTGCTCCAAAGTCACTGAAGGACACTGGCTTCTCACCTGTCAGTTTCCTCTTCTCTACCCTAGACAGAACTTCCCCCATGAATGATTACACCACGCTCCTGGCAGTCCCTTTGGCCTTCTCCAACCTCCAACAGAAAAGGGCTGCCAGTAGAGTCCTGACTTTTTTGGGGGCTGCAGACAGCCTGGGGGTGAGTGAGTCCGAGAACTCACTTCTGATCTTTGGCTCTGCGAACGTGGAAAGGCTGAGAACTAGGATCTCTACGACAGAGGAGAAGCCTAGCACAGCGAGCCAGTTCTGGGTCACTCCCCTTGCCCAACCCAACTCTCAGGTTTACCCAAGCAGAACTCGGGCTCCAGATCTCTGAGTGGAGACAATGAAGGGATGGCCACTGACAATCACTTCTAGGAACGCAGGTTCTGACACTAAAGAAGAGTTATTAACCCAAAGTAAGTGGCACAGAGGACAGGCTCTGAAGTTGACATCTCCTTAAGCCTGCACGTCTGAGCCTGAAGCTGTCGGTGGTCCCTGCACAGCCACCTGGCCCCGTCAAGAATGCCATACATACCACCTAGAGCACTTTCATAGCGGCCACCTAAGTCAACATCGGGACAGGGAGCATGAGAAACAAATACCCTGAAAACCATTAGAACCCGAATAGGCACCAATTGAGACCTATGGCCTCTGGAAGCCTCCATCACCCTGCCCAGGGGAGCTTCCTGTCCTGGCAGGCCAAGCAAAGGCAAACAGTGACAGTCTTTGGCTGTGCTGGGCCAGGGATCACAGGCCTGCCATATGTCAGAACCTCTCTCCCTTCTTTTACCCTCTTCTGGACCCAGGAGGACTTCAGATAGATACATTGCTCCTGAGCCTTGCACACTGAAAGGTGAGAAAAGTCTGCTCTCCTCAGCAGAGAGCAGTCACCAAGGAAGTTAAGTCCTCCCAAGCCTGACCAGACTTGGTCTTGTCAAGTGGACCCCACACATCTGATTTTTCTGGTAATAGGGAACACCTCCCTCTTTGCTGTTTATTACTGAAATCTTCTCTGTAGTGGATGCACTATGGCTCCCAAATGAATGTTGTAAGATGCAAACGGCAAAGAGCACTACACAGCTCGACAAGACTTGTCTCACATCCACGATCTGAAGAGAATGAGCTGAAAGGTGGGGAGGAGTGGTCAACAGCATGAGGCGCCAGCTGCCAGAGTGCTCGCTGTACCGCCAGCTCTCACACCTGGGAGATGCTGCTGGCCAGGCGGAACGACATTCTTTTTGCTCTTTCGTTCTCCTGAAAGAAAAAAAATATGTGTGTGTGGAATCAAAATAACCAAAGGTAGTGCTTATTAACGTGCAAAGGCAAAGTGTCCAGACTGGGACTCCCCAGAGCCAAAGTGTTTTCCTCTGCCCCGGGAAGCAACGGCAAAACTCACTGCAGCCACTAAACATGGTGGGCCAAGTGATGTAAACAACTGGGGATGGCTGCACACAGCAGGCAGGCAGGCAAGACATTTCTGTGGAATGAAACAGCACTGAACTGTGTCCCATGTTCTGCATATGTGGGACCAGACACAGGTCAGAAGCGCTCTCTCTACTGTAAGCAACACCTCTCCCTCCTTCTCTACACCAAGGGGCTGAAAATATCCCTTCCTTTCTCCCAAATGGAATTTGAGACCAGGCCCTGAGACCAGATGTTTCTCTTCTTCCAGGGACCACAGTGGAGAAGAATCAGCATTGAGCTGTGAATCGGGAGACCTGGCTTCCCACCCTGATTCTGCTGTTAATTTGCTGGGTGACCCTGGGCAGACGCATCCACCTCTCTGAGTTCCAAGCCTCAATGGTAATGAGACTTGATGAGCCCTGCACTGCCCTGACTTCCTGTTAGACTACAGGCTTGGGAGCAAGGGTTCCTTCTGAGCACTCTCTATGCCTCCAGCAGCTTTGCTTTAGGCTGTTCTGTACACGCTGCTTGGGTGCCCCCTGACTGCCCACCCACCGGCCCCACAACCTGCCTGCCAGCTGGCAGCAACTCTTTACCATATGTCGCCGCCGCCTCTTGGGTTGGATGCCCTCCTGCACGTAGGGGGGCCATGGGAAACCCTGCGGAGTGGAATACCCACTCTCGCTTGACACCTCTTCGGAGTCTGAGTCCTCCTGCCTTGGCTGGGCAAACCGTTTCTCCGGGTAGATCTCCTTCAACCAGCCCTCAAAGAACACTTCCAGGCAGCGGCCGGCCTCTGCAACCTCTGAGTCGGGCTGAAGGGGAAGGAGAGCAGTGATGGTCTGGCCCATATCCACCACCCCATCTCTTCCAGGTCCCTCAAGAGCTATACAAAGAGCACAAAGCCTGGCTAGGTTTCCTGGAGGTCTAGAATGTGACATTTTCTCCTGAAGACTCAAGATAACCAGTTTAGTACCATCTCTTCAAGCAGAAGTGACCCTGACAGTTACCCACAGAGGGCCAACCACTAGCATTCCCCCCTTCTTCCTTCTGAGTCCACACTGAGGCCCAAGTGTGGGAGAGAGCTTTTAAACACTCACTACGGGAGACCCTAAAAGGTTCCCATGTCCTTATGGCAGCTCAGGACCAAACCTGATATCCCCCATCCAGGCATGAGTCTTGGGGTCACTGGGAAATAGAGGAGGGGGAAAACAGGCAAGACATACATAATTGAACTTCGCACAGTTCCAGAACATGAGGCGGACGTCTGACACCACCTCCTCTGGGGTGGTGTAGTGAGCTGGGTCCTTCTTTTGCAGCTTCCTCCGAATGATTGACAGGTCCATGGGCCTCTTGATAATCTGGTAGTAATGCCGAGCCTTGGGGGAGCAAAGAAGGGGAAGCAAAGCAGGAAGAGAGAAGTAGAGGTACAGAGAAGAAAGAGGGAGAGATGGAGAATGAGTTGAAACAGATGTGAAAGGACACAAGAGAACAGCAGCAAGAAGAAAAGAGAAGAAAGGAGACAAAAAGGGAGAAGGAGGAATGTTTCACTGTCAAGTCAGGTGTGGTGTAGCAGCAGCTGGGCTGGGGGGCTGCAGTGGCCACACTGAGTCCGCTAGCCCATGCACGGATTAATCAGACTTCCAGCGGCCAAGACCTGAGCCCGCCCCAGGGTAGCACTTGGACTCACACCCAGGCCCAGGGCCCTCGGAGCCGGCAGAAACAGGAAGCTTTCCTTACCAGCGGGCTGACAGGTTCATGGAAGGGCAGGCTGAGGCTATGGCAGCACAAGGACAGTACCAGCTTTTCACACTTCTGCAGAAACCAGAATGGCAGCACGTTACTTCGGCCTGGCCCCATCTCAAGAACTGAAGACAGTGACCCTGATAACTCCAGCGGGGTCAGCTCTGTCCCACAGGGCGTGGGCCAACACGTTAAGGCACAGCACAGCCTGCTAGACTAGAGGAAGACAGCTGGCAGAAGGGAATCCATAGCAAAAACCCCCATGGGCCAAGCTGTCAGGCATAGCCCAACAGAGAGATACCTGGAGAGACTTCCCATCCCCCTCAGAAAGGCCTCAGCCCCTGGCACAGGGAGGCTGCCCCTGGCACAGGGAGGCTGCCCCAGGCAGGGAACCTTGTTTTCAGAAACCCCTCCCTACCTTCTGGTCATAGATGCTCAGGCCAGGAGTGGCCCGCATTCCAGGCTGATTATAGCGGGCATTCTCACAGTCGTACTCCATCTCGGGCTGGGTCAGGCTGCGGCACAAGGTACATACCCAGTCTCCCCTGCAGAGGCAGATGAGGCCAAATTAGGCATCAGCAGGTGGCCCAGAACCACCTCCCCTCTCCCTCTGCTCCAAGATGGGGGCAGAGAGAGAGAATGGTATGGGAGACTCAGTCCCTAGGCCTGCCCTGTAGGGAATGGCTTCCTAACCACAAGCTTTAAAGAAATTCACTAACTTGGGATGGAGTGAATCCAGAAAAGAATTGGATTTAGCAAGGGGCTGAGAGAGGAGTATGGGGACAAACCTGTGTGTGTAGGAAGAAACTGGGAACAGAGGAAGAAAAACAGCCACTCAAATTTCAAACACCTTCCTATCCATGCATAGAAGGCACAAGGCAGTAGGGCCACTGACTCACATACCTGCAATTCATGCAGGCCCAGAGAGGGGAGGAAGCCCATTTGAAGGAACTCTGTGGGCCTGGCCTGGAATAGTCATCCCTGGAAGATCACCCTGCTAGGCAGCCAATGGCCCTAGATTGGCACAACTCACCCGGGGAAGCTGAGCAGGGCCGGCAAGTGGCAGGAAAGGTGGAACACTTTGGGGCAGCGATCGCAGCACAGCAACTCTCCCCCATTGAGGCACACAGCGCAGAAGTCCTCATTCTCTATTGGTACCGGGGGCCCCTTCTTGGCTCCAGGGGTCCGAGGAATGAGTCTTTGTTCTTCAGGAGATGAACCCTCCCCCTCTGGTGGCTGCTGCCCCGCCAGAGAAGTGACAGTGACCTTTCTTCCCCCCAGACTTGGGGCCTGGATGGCATCAGGCATGTTGTTCTGGCTGACCTTGGAGAAGAAGTGAGTCTGAGCAGTCAGCACAGCACCAACAAGTTGTGGAGGGAGGGAGAGGAGGGACTGACAAGCCCTGGGCACCAATTTATTCCAGGCCCCCAGGCCAGCTGAGCCCCAAGAATGCTGAGCCTCCTGATATGCATCTCACAAGCCCCTGGCAGCCGAGGACAAGACTGGTCAGGCTGCAGCCCCACTCAGACTCTGGACAAGGCCAGAGCCAGAATTCTGAATGAAGTGGAGAAAGAAGAGAGGCTCCTAAGGTGGGCCAAGCTCAAGGACAAGACAGAACAGAGTGGTACCTTAATAGACATGCTGGAGGACTCAGTGCCACACTCGATGATCAGCAGGAAGCTCCCATCCTGCTCATTCTTCTGGGGCTTCAACTTGAACACAGGCATCTCTCCCGAGGAGGCAGCACAGATCTTGAGCCGCTCCAGTCGCACGTAGGGAATCTTAGGCTCACTGTTGAAGGGCCTGTGGCAAGAGAGACACCCCTGGGTCTTAGTGGGAGCCTCCTCTGACCCCAGCCTCTAAGTCAGCTCAACCATGATCCGACAACTGAACTGCTGCTCAAGATCTCCTCAGTCCCACCCCATGCAGGCCCATGTTTCTCCCTCCCACCCCCGGCGAGCTGTTTGCTCAAAGAAGAGGGGATTCCTAAAGAGGGAGGACTTCACACAGAGCACATGCCCTCGGTTGCAGGAGCCAGGATGGCTTCCCACAGGCATCCCAGACTCCCAACCACACAGATCCTACTCAAGGGTCTGGGAGTTGAAGAAGACAGTTGCAGGCAAACTTCTGCTTCTAGTGAAGTCATCAAGTGTGCTGACTTTCTGTGCCAACCTCCCAGGACATGAAGTTGAGGGGTGGGAGAGGGAGGTTGGGCCAAGAGCCTGTTACCTGATACTCTGGTTCCCTTTTGCATCCAATTCCAGGGCTCCTTGTTTAAAATTCTCATACTCTAATGCAAAAGACAAATACCTGTGACATACATTTATAACAACATGCCCAATACCCATACCTTCCACTCATGTGCTATTCATACCTTTGGCCACACACCTATCATACAACTGTTACCCACAGTGTAATCATTCATAATGGTGGCAATCCTAACATGGCTCTCCTTCCTGAGAGAAGAAGGCCACCTTCTTTTAAAAAGAGAAACAATACTCAGAGGCTGTCTATGGGTGAGTGTTGGGTCGGGTGAGGGACCAGCTTCTCACCTTCCAAATGAGCTCAGAAATCTCTTGTTTCCCATATACTGGGGTTACGTGCTCTCAGGGGTCATTCTGTCCAGCCTCTGCATTTTCAGCCAAATTCTGATATTCTAGTACTGCCTGAGAATCTAGCTCATACCACATAGGCAAGAGGCCTACCCTGGGTAGAGCAGTAGAGCCTGTGTAGCTGGGCAGGGGGCGGTGTGGGGAGAGAGGAGGATACTAGCATTTAGTGAGCACCCACTCAGCACCAGGCACTATCCTAGGCACTTTCCTTGGGCAAGCACAGTCCAAAAATTTGATTATTTAAAATTCAGGTTTCCATTATTACACAGTTAATAAGAACCAATCAGTATTCAGTTAGTCTTTCAGTCAGTGCAAAGAAACAAGGTGAAAATTATTTCATTTTCATTTATTAGATATATGGGAAATAGATGGATCATTACAGACTAAACACACATCATACACTAAACAGAAAAAGTCCCAAATTTTCACTCGGCAGTTGCTTACAAATTTTCCAGCTAGCCCTCGCCTACCACAGAAGAAGGCAAGTCCCATTTGAGAAGGGGTGTAGGTAGCTGAGAAGAGAATCAGAGCCAATCTCCACCAGTCCAAATTCTCTTTACTATGAGGCACACCATAAATCCAGATGACTGTTGGGTGCAAGGCAAGTTCTTGTTACTACAGAGAAAGTCATCAAATGATCTCACTGTAGTTATTTGGCCCAGTAGTCTACAAAGTAGTTACACTAGCCCCATTTACAGAGAAAGAAATCACCTCAGAAAGGTTAGGGGTCTCACACAGGATCAAACATAAAAAGACAGAGCTGGTTTTCTATGATAGATCTACCTGACTCCAAAGTCACACATGCTCTGTTCCCTAAAATATTTTGTCAAGGCTAGCCCTTCTGGGATGAGTTTTGGGATGTGTTCTTCCCAGGAAGAGTTCTTCCTTCTGGGATGAGTTCTCCCTGCTTCCCCCACCTCTAACCCAGACCTCCATGGGAATGTTACGTGGAGCTAAGTCTTGGCCATGCCTGGATCAGCCCCGGCCACAGTGAGGAAAACAGAACAGGTACCAATAAGTCAGTTCTAGAGGGAAGAAGTGAACTGAGCAGAGAGAGAGAGAAACACTGCTCCCTCACACCTAGAGCCTGTCTCCTGACCTCTCTGTCACCTGGGAGTGCTGAGCTCATGTTTGTGGCCAGCACAAATAACAGGCTACTGACTTGAGCCTCACCTTTTGGGTTCCGGTACTGTTGCAGAGCCATGGACGTGTTGATCACTGGGACCAGTGGGGGTTTCTTCACAGAGAGGTTAATTGGCTCCTCTAGTTCTGAAGGGATAGCCAAGTCCTTGGAAGCATCCAGACCAGGGGTTGTGGAGTCTTGTCTCAGAGAGTCAGTGAAGCGGGTAGAATCCTCACTTTCCATCTTTCAAAAGCGAAAGGCCAACAAGAATCAAAGAAATGAGACATTTTTATTGTTACTGGTCATAAAGCTATTAAGCTAAGGCCAGGATAAGCTCTTATCTGCAGCGGCCACCCTTTTGCCCAGTGATGAGTAGAGGGTGTGGAGTGGTATTTACCCAGGACTTACCTTACACAGGGCATTCCCGAGAGAGGGGTCAGCCCCATCTCCAGGGCACAGGCTCCCTACAGCTCGCCCAGAGCCAGGACTGCAGCTGGATCCAGTTTCTGGTTGCACGTCAGAAGCTGGAGGCATGCTCTGCAGAGGACAAGTCGCCAGACTTGGCATAGCCTGGGTGGGACCAGACATCAGGTTGGGCCTGGCCTGTGACTGATCACTTGCTAGGCTTGTGATGGCCTGGGAGGAATCACTCATCAGGCTGGGCACGGACTGGGGTGTGCCGCGCACAAGGCTGGGTATGGTCGGCAGATGACCCACTGTCAGGCTGGGCATAGCCTGGTTTTGACTGCTCATCAGGCTGGACACAGTTGTGGGGGTGCTGCTCAGCAGGCTTGGTACCATGTGGGAAGGGGCGGCAGGCAGGCTGCTCACGCTCTGGATCTGTGGCTCTAGGGTCCTTGCCAGCCTGGTAGATGACAGCTCCATCTCCAGTGTGTTGGAAAAGCCCATGATGCTCACCGAAGTGGAGTGCTGCAGGAGTAAAGACAAGGCAGAGTCAGGCTCTTAGCAGGGAATGGGGGGGAAGGAGGAGAGAGGTGCAGCCCTCAAGAACTCCCACGCTCAGATTTCACCCTGGCCTCAGAGACTAGTAGTAGCAAGGAACTCACACAGCACATGAAGTCCCCATTCCCATTCCCCTGCACCAAGGAGGCTGGTAGAGAGGCAGGCACAGGCTGAGGACACTGGCGTGCATGTGTGTGTGAATGTGTGTGTGTGAGAGAGAGAGAGGGAGGGAGAGAGAAAGAGACAAGACAGTGTGGAAGAGTGAGAGATAGCCTACCACCTGACCTGAGGGTGGTATGCGCATGTGTGTATGTGCACGTGCGTGCACACACACACACACACAGCCACCGTTAGCCCACGCCCCTCAACCCCTATCCAGTACCTAATCAAAGGGTCAGACTGTAGGACTGCCCTCCAGCTTCACATCACTAGTGCCTTCTTGTCCCTTCTGGGGGTCCTATAGACTAGTTTCTGTTACATAAAAGTGGAAGGAAGTTCAGAAGGCTCAAACTCTGATCTGCCTCAGGCCTTCTCTGAGATAATGCCAAGGCTCAGGGAGCCCCAGTTAGTGCTGGGGAACTAATTCCTTTGCATAAAGCCATTCTTTTCCTTTGCATAAAGCTCTACGGTGCATTCCACCATTCAGGACAACTGTGAAATCAATGGCTTATCCCCTGTCCTGCTCTGCAGCCACAGTTCATCCCTGAACCCTCCCATTCTCTGAGCTCCAGCCACTCACACATTTTTCAGTTCCTGAAACAAGCCAAGCCTTCCCTCCACCTAGAATCTTCATCCCTTTCAAAGAGACTGCTTCTGCTCCAGGGAACATTGTCCTATCCCTGCCCCTGTCCCACTTACCCTTCCGAACTCAGCTCACCTGTGATTTTTTTTAGAGCAAAGCCTCTTTTCATTCTGTGGCCCAGGCCTGGTTCCCTCTTTTGTGTTCTCATAACTCCTTTTTGTACTGTATTCTTGTAGCTGTAAGACCATTTGATTAATCTCCGTTTCCTCCATGAATTGTAAACGGATTTTACTTATTTTGCTTACCCAGTGTATTTCTAGACTCAGGAGCAGTCCCTGGCTGAATAAATGAATTAATGAGCTATTTACAATTTTAAAAAAACAACATAATGTGTGATTTTTTATTCTACAAATCTTAAGCCAAACAAATAGCAGCTTAGTTCTATTAAAAACTGTGTCTATGCATCTCTCTAAAATAATGGTTGTCTTCATATAGCTAAAATTTATTGAGCATTTATTATATGTAAGGAAATTTGCTAAGTGTCTTACATACATTTCCTCGCTTAATCCTCATAACAAACATTAAAGGGTTGTTGTGAAGGTTAAAAGAAAGAATCCATGTAAAGATTTAGAACATCTGCCATATTGTAGGTACTCAACAAACCCCAGCTACGGCTAATGCGGCTGCAATTATTGTTATTGTTATTATTCTTCTTATGGCCCTAATTTTACACTTGAGAAAAATGAGTTTCAGAAAGGCATCTGAAGTTTTTAATGCTACTGAACACATAATTTTGTATATTTCTATTTCTCTTTACTTGTGCTCACACACAGAAACACGATTTTTGCATATTGACCTGGTACCAGAGACCTTGCTGAAGTCACTTGGGGAATTTCTGTGAACACAAATCATGTCATCTGTGAAGAGTTAAGTTTTATTTCTTCCTTCTCCTGTGTTTTCCGGCCTTACTCCACCAGCTAAGACCTCCCATACCAGGTCAAATAGAAGCAGCGATAGTAGCTGAATTGTCTTGTTCCTGATCTCGGGGGATCCTTTCAATATTCCACCAACTAACAATGATACTTGATGTGGGATTTTCACAGATTTAAAATCCAGATCTCTGGCCCCGAAGCCACACTCTTGACTGTGGCCCATCTAGCTCTGTCCTTCCCTGTGCTTCCTCCCCTCCCCTTCCCACACTCTACACTTCAGCCTCTGTCCTTCCCTCGCCTGCTCCCTCTTCCTCTCCTGTTTTCCTTTCTTCTTATCATCTCTTCCTCTTCTCTCCCAACACCTTTCCCTTATTATTTAACTGCTTTAGTAAAGCTTACATTTTCTATTCTTAATTCCCAATTCGAAAAGCAGATAAGCTAAATACCTTTGTTTCTCCAAAGAAAATTTTTTATTTTTAGATATTCCCTGGTAGTGCAATAGTGTTCAATAAAAAGGCTTCCAAGGGGCGCCTGGGTGGCGCAGTCGGTTAAGCGTCCGACTTCAGCCAGGTCACGATCTCGCGGTCCGTGAGTTCGAGCCCCGCGTCAGGCTCTGGGCTGATGGCTCAGAGCCTGGAGCCTGTTTCCAATTCTGTGTCACCCTCTCTCTCTGCCCCTCCCCCATTCATGCTCTGTCTCTCTCTGTCCCAAAAATAAATAAACGTTGAAAAAAAAAATTTAAATAAATAAATAAATAAATAAATAAATAAAAAGGCTTCCATTTGCTCTATAGTCTAAGTCCCAAGATAAGGAATATTGAGGAGAACGAAGTATGGGGAGAATACTCAGAGCAAATTGGGTAGATTAAGCATGGAAGAGCCGCCTCAAACATGCCCTGGCCCGCATCCCTTGGCATTCCCTGCTGTCCTGGTTATATACTACCACAGCTTTCTAAGATTCAATCTTTCCTTATCTACCTATAGAATACCCAAAGATTGTTGGAATCTCTTTTGTAACATAGGACAGTCTAACCCTTTGAGCTGGTTTCTTTCACCTTTTCCCCATTTGACATGTATATTTAGTGCAACTCTGGTTGTCATCTCATCTGCCAATGACATAGATGGCTCTGTGTGAGATCCTTGGTGCCAAGCATTAAGGGCATCAAAATCTACCTGGGACAATCCCAAGTAATAATGGTCAGGTGCTGTAGGTCACAAGATATGCACAACATTAAATCCCCAAAGACAACGCTCCCCAGATTAGAGGCAGGATATCTCTACATCTCCAGATTAAAGGTAGGATATCTTTGTAGGATATCTACTCCCCTGTCCTGATTATTTATTGTGCATCATGAAGTATGACTTAATGATAGAGGACAGGAGGGCATGAGTACTGAGCCCTAGAAGAACTGTGGAAATTCTATCACAGTTTATTTTGAGTTGGGCCTGCTGAACCTGCTCCTATAAACACCGAGCACACAGCACAAGGTCAATAACATGTCCTAAGAGACTGCAGACTAGACTAGTCTTTTTGAAGTCCACATTCACATTCAATCTCAAGGAGACCACAGCTATCAGGAAGTAGGGGAAAGCCTTAGTAGTGGTAAAAAGAACCTGAGAAATTTCCAGGATCTCAGAGAAAGTGTTATAAGGAAGCCAGCACCACCCCATTTCTATAGGCTATACAAATACAGCTGCATTTCTGGAACATATGTAAGCTGTGTGTTAGTTATTTTTGATACTTCATTTGGCTCTCTGGGTGAAGAGATGCAAAATATTAAAATGGAAGGAACTATTTCATGTGTAGGAAGAAACACAGGATTGAGAACCTCCTTTCTACCCTGCTGCCAGTGCTGCAAAGTGAGTAGAGGCAAGGGAAGAATCAAATTTCCGGGCCAGGAAAGCAGGCTGAGGAACCAGGGCCTGGGAGGAAGGACAGGGCTTCTTGAGAGCACACTAGGCTTGAGAATATGGCCATTCCTGACATTTGGTGCCTCACACACAGAAGGTGCTCATCTCTCAATGGAGATGACATTGCCTGCCCTCTCTAGCAACCAGGATTGTTCAGAGATCAAAGGAGAGAAGGCAAAATTATATGGCCAACTGTAAGGTCTATAAATGGCAACTACTGACCCTTCCAAGTTGTCAGCTACATGACACCTTTCCTCCTTCTTCACGTGTAAAACCTTCAGATTTCATGAGGCAAAATATGTACTTTGAAGTCTGCAAGTGAAAAACTATTTTCTAGATCAGGGAGGAAGAGAAGACAAAAATGCCAAAAACATTCACTCTGAAATCAGCTCAGGTCATCTCTGTGGTACAAGGGGAGACTGCTCTGAGCCTCTTACCTCTCTTACATAGTGCCTCCTCACTTGCTCCTAATTTTCTTTCCTTCCCCCATGCTTTATGTTCCCATATGTGTCCCTTTCCTCTTCTTTTCTCTCTTTATCTCTGTTTGCCACCTGCCTGACCTGTGACCTGTCTAAATCACCTCACCTGGAACCTACAGAATCTGTCTGAACCACCAGCATCCACAACCTGCCTGACCTACGACTTCCCTGAACTGTCAGCCTCTTCTACTAGTCACCTGTGCAATCCTTCGTCCACCTGCTGCCTCCATCCCCATCCTCACCACTTGGGTCTTTTTCTGGAGTTCAATGTGCTTATTTATATCATTACAATGATTGTCACATGATGTTATCAAAATTTGGAGAAGGCACTGTTCTTTCATTCAACAGAAAAGGAAACTGAGACACAGAGCAATTACACAGATTTCCCAAGCTTATATAGGCCTAAGACTACGAGTCTGGGCCCAGCCTTAAAAGCCTGCTGGCTGGTCTTGCTTTTGTGCCATTAGCTAGAAAGCTAGTGCTCTAGTAAAACATGATAGAGAAGTCAATAAACAGACACTTAATGCACATGCCCTGAGTTTAATATAAATTTCAGGTTCTTACAGCAAGATAATATTGCTGGGGATAAAGCAGCACAAATAGGGTGGTGTTCCACAGATATTAAGTTTCCATATATCTGAACCATACCTCTTTCAATAACAAAATTCAGTTGGCTTTAAAAAATTATTTTGAATGGGACTACTTCTAAAACACTTTACACACCACCCTGTCATATTAAATAGAGTTCATGAAGCCTAATGAGACCACTCCTTAAGGACATAAACAAGCTTGGATGGACTTCTGTTGCTGGAGTAGGCTGTAGTTCAGTGATGCTATAAGGCAATGCAGGGCTTAGCTTGTCCTTTCACCAAATGACCTCACACTGTGGCACTTTTCCAGGTGA